TGAGTTGCATTCATACAAGCAAGCCTAAGTAATAAAGCCAAAAAAGATACGTGAATCCACATAATAAGGTATGCACATATTTATTACTGGGGATACTCTAATGAAATTAAATGTTATCTATGAAAACATGCATATGGTATACCTCTACAATCTAAATCAAATTGTTTTTATTTAGGTAACTCCGTTGACTGCCTTGAAGTTTGGAGAACTCTCTGTGAAAGCAGGATTTCCTAAAGGCGTTATCAATATTTTACCTGGTTCAGGTACAATGGGAATATAAATATTGATAGCCTTTCCTAACTTGTTGCCCTTCAGATGTATTGGAAGTAAGAGACCCAGAATTTTTAGTCTACATGGCCAACAGTTGGGAATGATGGAATATGCAATTATCACATGCCTAGAGGGTCTCAGTTTGGGTTCAAAGAGTAGCTCATGTGGAAAGGGGCAGGAGCATTAAACAACTTTCTGATTCAAATTCTCCAGGTCATAGTTTCAGTAAAAGTCATGGTATTGTATCTCTCACATCATGTAGGTGGTTTAGTAGGACAACGCTTATCAGAACATCCAGACATCCGTAAACTTGGGTTCACTGGCTCAACACCAATTGGGAAACATATCATGAAAAGGTAATCCTTTCCTTCTGTAATATTTTTCAGTGCAAGATCTTAACTTTTGCTCAGTAGGAAGTTGTATGAATGCTGTTTTACCTGAAAATCTCCATGTCATTTACCAACTAGATCCATGATGGCGAACCTATGGCATGAGTGCCACAGGTGGCATGCAGAGCCCTCTCTGCAGGCACATGAGCCGTCGCCCCAGCTCAGCTCTACCCCGCATGCACGCGCGCCTCCTGCCAGCCAGCTGGTTTTTGTGTCTCTGCCGTGCATGCGTGGAGGATTAAGCGCATGCAGGAGATGTGTGTGCATGCGTAGGGGTGCATGGGGGTCACATATACATGTGTGGGCTTGTAGGAGGAAAGTGGGGGTTGCACATGTATGTGTGGGAGCAGGGTGTGTCATGTGTGCATTGCATTATGAGAGCACATGCACACACTTTCGGCATTCGATGATAAAAAAGGTTAACCATCACTGAGCTACATAGTCAGAATAATATTGAGTTAAAAACTGATATTGGTTTGGATGCATCAAATTTGCTCATGTGAGTATTTTCTCTGTTTTTGTATACTTCTTCCCACTTCCAAAATTTGCCACTACAATTTGGGTGACTTTTGCAAATTTAGCTAGGATCCAGTCAAAGTAAGAGGAAAATGTTGTCAAGATACCAATTCTAATATACAATAGTTTAACTATGTTTAGTATTTAACTTATTTTTGGGAAATAGCTAAAATGAGTATATAAGAAAATGTTTATACCACGATATGTCTTAATATCACTAAGAAATGAGGAAAATGGTATTTGATTTTCAGACTTCTGTTCTTTATCACTTTTATTCATTATAGTTGTGCTGTCAGTAACCTGAAGAAGGTTTCTTTGGAACTAGGTGGAAAATCCCCACTGATCATATTCAATGACTGTGAGCTTGACAAAGCTGTAAGAATGGTAAATAAGTTTTTAAGCTACATATAAGATTTTCTTCAGAAAGTGTATGGTTCAAATGTCCTGTACTACACTGTGACTTTTTACTACTGTTCTGGAGAACAACCTGTCAACCTGCAGCTCTTACCACACCACATGAGCCTTTCAACTTTTAAAATCTTCCTCAAGCAATTGATGCACATAGGAATACCTACCATTTGGGCACGAGAGAATTAGGCAGAGGACTGCAGAAAGAGAAAGGTGGAGAGAGAAAGACATCTCAGAAATGATAATTGCTGGTTTCATCCTTTTTGGTTCTTAACGTACCCTCTGTTTGCTTAAGCCCACATATTATTGCAGGCCCACAAATTAGTCCCATAGGGAAGAAGTTATCAATATTAAATATTCAGTATTCATATTTCAATATTCTTAAAATATAGTATGTTGTAGTGATAAGCAGCAGAGTAGCTAAAGGCTGCTCTTTGGTGATTCTCAGGTTCTCTGTACTATTTGACATTTTCTAAATGTAGTTTAACAAATTTAAAAGGATGCTTCAAGAATCAGATTTGTTTGTAGCAATGCTTTCTGGCCATGCAAAACTGGAATGATAAAGAACATCTTGAAAGGCTGATTCACTGTCTGGTAAATTACCCTGTTTCCCCAAAAATAAACCTCCCCAGATAATAAGGCCTCCCTGAAAATATTTAAATGCATGCGCAACTAGTCCCCTGCATTTCCTGGGGGGAGGGACATGCCCCATGTGCCCCGCATGCACCTGCCATCCACGCGGAACGGCTTCGCGGAGGCTGCTTCCACAAACCCTAGCTATAGTGCCCCTTCTCTTAGTGGTGGCCACAACAAGAACGGAAGGCCCAGCGACGCTAGGGCTGGCAAGTGTGTGCCAGAAACAGAGGCAGAAGTTCTGGCCCTCTCTGGATCTGCAGATCTCCAGGCCGAGGTTAAGGGGCCTTCTGCACCTCAAAAATAACCTCCCCGAAAATAAGGCCAAGTGCTTATTTCGGGGATCAAAAGAAGACCATGTCTTATTTTTGGGAAAACACAGTAATATTTTAGGATCAGCCATCCTCAGCAAAGGATGGTTTTTCAGGGCAGCCTATCTGAATACATTAGGGATGTCAAACTCAATTCCATTGAGGGCTGCATCAGGGTTGTGTTTGACCTTGGGGGGAGGGGCAGGGGGCATGGCCAGGGTGGGCATGGCCAGCTCGACATCCATTTTCGGCTGCGTTGGCCTCAAGCAGCCCTCTGCCAGCGAAAAAGGTGCTCAAGAGGGCCATGGGCGGCCCTTCCAAGCTCTGTTTTCGCTGGCAGAGGCATCGCAGGCTGGTCATTTGCTGTTCCGATGGGCCAGGTCTAAGCAGATGTGGCCCATAGGCCTTGAGTTTGACACCCATAGAATACATAGTTCTTCCATGGTTTTCAAAATTCAAAAAGGGTATCCAGCTCTAAAGATTGTCTGTTTTATAATTAATTTTTTTAAAAGTTACTAAATATGTATAATACATCTATTGGGTACTGCTTACTGTGGTCCTTGATTTATCAGTCATAACTTTTTAATGTCATCCAGCTTTCATTATATGCAGAAAAGCCTTTCTTGTTTTTGATGGATGTGTTACTCTTCTCCAAGCTGGTGCTCTCCAGATGTGTTACAATTTAACTCACTTGTTTCCTGACAGCAGGGGGAGCTGAAGACCAACACATCTGGAAATCACTAAATTGGAGAAGCTGAGCTACATAAAGAGAGACTGAGATTTAGCTTCATATTACCGCCTTGTTAACCCAGAAGTTTTTAAAAAGAAAAAGATTTCAAGACATCCATAAAAACAACCAAACCAAAAATGGAACATTCTTTTCCTTACATTTCAGGGCATGGGAGCAGTATTCTTCAACAAAGGAGAGAATTGCATTGCAGCTGGTAGATTGTTTGTTGAGGAATCTATTCATGATGAATTTGTTAAAAGAGTGGTAAGAAACTTTTAAGAGTCAATATCAAAAATTAATTCTGCCATACCTATTGTTGCTTTGTACAAGTAGTCTTCAATTTACAACACAATTGGGACCAAAATTTCTGCTGTCAACCAAAGTGGTTGTTAAGTGAGTCTTGCCCAATTTTACAAATTTTTATCGATTTGTTTTGACTGTGGGTGAGAAGTGAATTACTCCATTAAGTGAATCACGTCATTAAGAAATCTAACTTCCCTCATTAACTTTGCTTGTCAGAAGCTGCCTGGGAAGGCAATCACGCTGCCCTGGGATGCTGGAATACATGCCAATTGCCAAACACCTGAATTGTTGCGAGTCACTTTTTTCAATACTTCAGATGGTCACTATGAGAATAGTTGTAAGTCGAGAACTGCTTGTAGTTGTAATATTTTTCACAGATAAAATATGAGTAATGGAGCAAAGCCCTATTTTTTTCAGTGTTCATTGATTTTCTGAGGTGGCAAAGTTTCAGGTTTATTTTCGATCAAGCAATTTTTATTACTTTTCAAGCTCTTTTGACCAGGTCCTACAGAAGGTACTTTCCACTTCCATTTCATTGGATATGGATGGTTATGGATCTGCCCATCAGCAAAAATTAGTGATACACTTTTTTCAGCATCTTATGAGCTTAATAATGTGAAACACAATATCTGAAATATTCCAGAGTGCAGTTTCCTTGTATTTGGTTTGAGATTTAGGAACATATTGCTGTTACATGCTTTACAACTCAATGCTTCTTCTGTGTGTAGATGAAACTTTAAAATGCCAGAAGGAAGCCACCTTCTTGGCTTTGTTGTTGCCCAAAAAAATAAATCACTATGTTTCTGGTAGTAGCCGACATATCAACAGATGGGCTGCATTCTGTGTCTCTCCACATTCACATAAGTGTGTTGTTATCCACTAAGAGCCTCCACTCAAGCATACTGGTTTTATATTACATCACTCAATGGTGGGATTCCAAATTTTTTACTACCGGTTCTGTGAGCATGGCTTGATGGGCATGGTGTGGCTTGGTGGGCGTGGCAGGCAAAATCTCCATTCCCACCCCACTCCAGAGGAAGGTTATTGTAAAATCCTCATTTCTTCCCAATCAGTTGGGACTCAGGAGGCAGAGAATAGATGAGAGCAGGCCAGTCAGAAGTGGTACTTACCAGTTCTCCGAACTAATCAAGATTTCCGCTACCAGTTCTCCAGAACTGGTTAGAACCTGCTGAATACCACTTCTGTAGTCACTCCAACTCTCAACTATTCAGGGCCCTCCAAGTAGTATAAGGGAAGTCAGATCCTTCAGCCATATCCTCCTTTAATGTTATTCCTTGCTCGATGGTCTCCTTCCTCCACCTTATAATTCAATTTTGTTCTTGTTTACCCTCAAGAATGTTTGTTCTTTCCATATAGGGCTCTATACAATATAAGGTGAACCAAGAGAGGACAATGTCTTCCACTGTAACTTTAAAAATCCTAATCTACAGTATTTTAAATACTGTATAATTATTATATTATTATCTGTAAAATTTTAGCCGGTATATTACACTATTTAATCCCCACATTCTTTGAATAATCTTTAGGTGGAAGAAACCCAGAAGATGAAAATAGGTGATCCACTGGATAGAGCTACAGACCATGGACCTCAAAATCACAAAGCACATTTGGAAAAGCTTCTGGAGTACTGCCAAACTGGAGTAAAAGAAGGAGCAACTTTATTATATGGAGGAAGACAAGTATGTAGACCAGGTAAGTAAGAATACAGGAATATTAGAAAGCATTTGAATGCATTTTAAATCTTTTTTCCCCAATGTAAAGGAAATAATAGTATAGCACATTTTATGAATTTTGACTAAATGGGGTGACAATGGAAGTAATAGCAAACATACTGCACCAACAACTGGACTGCCATAGATATGCCAGAATGGCTACTGTTGTTTATCACTATGTTTTTCCTTTTCTCTCTTTTTAAAATAAGATTGTTATTAAGTTTCAATATCAAACATTAAAATACAAACTAAGATAAGAGCAAAAGGGAATAACAAGACAAACTAAGTGACAAAAATACATTAAACAAATTTAAAAGGAAAGTGACTTCTGACTTTAGTTCAATTATATTCAGCTGATGACCCACCAAAATGTATGTTGCTGTTTTTACAATAGCTAATTCCTCAATTTCATTCTTGCAGTCATGGTAGTATTGTAAGAGTCAAGTAATTATAAAGCACGTAGAGGAAGGGGTGTTGAAGAGGAAGGCAAATGATCATAAAATGCACAACAGAAACTGTAAACCCATCTCCAAATGATCTCTCTACAACACCCTTGTTTGGAAACTAAAATTATATTGAGTGGATGCTCTTGTTAAAATAATCAATTGGCTAAAAATTGAAGTCCTTGGTTATTAGCCAAGTTATATATAAAATGCATTGGTGAAGACAGATAACCTATGACCCATGTATCAAGATAGAAAATGATTGAGATCGTAACTACCCCTTTTTTTCATTAGGCTTCTTCATGGAACCTACCATATTTACCAATGTTGAGGATGACATGCATATTGCCCATGAAGAATCCTTCGGGCCAGTGATGATCATTTCCAAGTTCAAAGATGGGTAGGTTCTGTTCCAGTTAATGCTGTTGTTGCTGCAGTTTTTCAAACCCTGCACCCTAATTAATAGTCATCTGAGAAGACCAAATGAATCTGCTTCACTCCTTTTCGCCATTGCAATTAACATCTTGGAGGAAAACTTCTGTGAAGTAGATTCCTCCCCTAATTTGTTATCCTGTAGGAGCATGGTGGCTCATGAGGTTAGGACGCTGGGCTGACGATCAGCAAGCTCTTATTTGAGACAGCTGCTTGCTGCCACGAGGAAGGGTGAGCTCCCATCACAACTGCTGCCCACCCAACAATTCAAGGGTGGGCAATAACAGGTAGATAAATGGGTACCACTTTGGTGGGTAACTTAATAAATGAAAGGAATCTCCAACTGGTCATCCCCCAGGGAATGGTGATGTCACCGTCCAATTCTTTCAACCCGGAAGTGTTTTAGCGCTCTTGGCACAAATGTAGTAGTATTTGGAATCCTATAGAGTCTCAGTGGCACAGTGGTTAGAGTGCAGTACTGCGGGCTACTTCTGCTGACTGTCACCTGTCTGCAATTTGGCAGTTCAAATCCCACCAGGCTCAAGGTTGACTCAGCCTTCCATCCTTCTGAGATGGGTAAAATGAGGACCCAAATTGCAGCAATATGCTGACTCTGTAAACTGCTTAGAGAGGTTTGTAAAGCACTGTAAAGCGGTATATAAGTCTAAGTGCTATTGCTATTTAATTACTACTGATGGTCTTTCCCAGTCTATGACCTTAAGAATCGTGCAATTGTTAATTTTGTGGATTAAATATCATTGTTATATCCCTATATTCATTACATACATTCTAGTCAAGTTCTAAAATACTTCACAAAAATATCAGATTGGATATACAGATGGTTCTAAGCAATGTTGTTTTAACCATATTTCAATCAATTACATTTCAATGGCTGGTTTGCAATTGCAGACAGTTATAGAATATGATATATAAACCACAATTCCTAAATTACATGCTTGAACTGAAATAAATGTTATCATGGCTTAGCACAATATGAGAACACAATGTATGCTACAAAATCTGGGGATGAAAAATAATATGGCATGATGATTTTACCATCTTTGGTATGTTTTATGCTGCCTATATCTTATATGTTTCTTTATTGCCATAGAGATGTTGATGGAGTGTTAGAACGAGCCAACAGAACAGAATATGGTTTGGCTTCAGGTGTTTTCACCAAAGACATAAGTAAAGCTCTATACGTCAGTGACAAACTGGAAGCTGGAACTGTTTTTATTAACACTTATAACAAAACTGATGTAGCAGCACCATTTGGTGGATTCAAGCAGTCTGGTTTTGGAAAAGATTTAGGTAAGCAGCACTTCATATTTTCTCTCTAGACTCCAATTATATTTACAAAGTGTCATGTATTAAAGGTAAGAAATTTATCACCTTCCAGAACTCTTTAGATCCCATTCTGAATCAACATGATGAACAACCAGTAACCAAAGGTTTTTGTATTGTAACGACAAAAAATGATTGTTATAGACTACTTGTTTTCTAGTACAAAGTGTTTAATCATGCCAGCCACATGACCACGGAGTCGTCTTCTGACAGCGCTGGCTCTTCGGCTTTGAAATGGAGATGAGCATTGCCCCCTAGAGTCGGGAACGACTAGCACATATATGTGAACCTTTACCTTTATTTTTAACAGAAAATGCAGGAATGGATAGTACTAACAGGGTTGTTGGTTTTTTATAATATGCTCCATCTTCTAGCTACCTCCCCATGGTATCTTCCACCACCCTGATCTTCCCCAGAGCCTTTCCTGTCTCATCCTTTCCCTCCTAGAAACTCAAACATGCTATATGCACATATCACATTGGCCTGTCCAGCCTTCCTAATTTCCCTCTCCTCTCCCTGCCCATATTAACTGACCCTCCAATCTTCAGTACATATGCAGCAGAAGGCTGTCTCTTTTACTAGACTAATCTCCATTATACTGAAGAGTTTACTTGGTTTTGAGTTCTACCTTGCTTTTTGCAAAGGCTTCCACTGTGAAGAACTTTGCACCCTTGGAGACTCCAACTACTGCAGACTCCCTTATTCCTTTTAGGTGAAGAAGCTCTTAATGAGTACCTGAGGACAAAAGCTGTAACTGTGGAATACTGAACAGGTCGGCCAAGAATCCCCATTCTTCCATGGCAACTACAGGATTACAAACAACAAAGTAGAAAATGCTCCCTGGCATGAACATGCCAACCAGTGTCTCAGTGCAATGATCCAATTAAGAACATTTGCATTTATTCACAATGGGATTCCTCAGAGGAGTTCAACACTTGCTATGGATTACTGTGATCATAAAGTATTCTTTCCTGTAGCTATCATGTCCTCCTTCATCTGCTGATATTTAGGGCTATCTGAAGGTGAGACAGAAATCTAGAAACCATCAAATTTCTGATATTTTGTCTCTATGAACCCTTTACTTAAGTTGGAAACATGCTATAATTTTTTATTTGTCCTCGGTAACCATGTGGGTCTTGGCCACTTTACACCAGCATACTTTTTTCCTGCAATAAACATTTTTGCATATTTGAACTAACTCTGAATACCAGTTCACCGTAAACATGGTTTATGTACCCAAGGAAGTGCACTTATGAATCTGTACAATAAAGAATTGAACATCTGTGTTATTTCCCTAAATAAAAAAAAAGTAGCAGAACTATTTTGCAATCTGTTTGCCAATGAGTTGTATGCGATCTCTAATTGTGCGTGCCAATGACATTAAATAAATGCTTTTTGGATGTCCTGTAGTATTTAATGACCTAGTATTGCATCTGTAAAATAATCTCTCTCGCTCTCTAATATATTTACAATGCTCTAAAGTCAGGGGTCCCCACTCCCGGTCTGTGGCACTGATCCACGATATGCCAGAAACCCATCCCTGCAAAAAAGTGACGGCCCAACCATGGGACACAGGCAGCACACGAAACCCATGCTCCCTTTGGTCCATGGAAAACCTTTCTCCACAGAACTGGTCCCTGATGCCCAAAACGTTGGAGGCCGCTGCTCTAAGTTATACAATACATATTAAGTTTTGGCTCTGGGAAAAAGTCTGAAAACAACCATTCTGTTGCACAGTGGTTATTATGCATTACTGCAGACTATTCCTGCTGACTGCCGGCTGCCTGCAATTTGGCAATTCAAATCTCACCAGGCTCAAGGTTGACTCAGACTTATATACTGCTTTACAGTGCTTTACAGCTCTCTCTAAGCGGTTTAAAGAGTCAGCATATTGCCCCCAACAATCTGGGTCCTCATTTTACCCACCTTGGAAGAATGGAAGGCTATTGCTATTCTGAAGACATGATTAAAGCCATGGATTAATACAATTTGTGAAGACAATCATGCCAGGTTTTGAATATATTTACTACTTGCAATTGCAAAATATTTATTGAAAACAACACACAACATTGTGGTATAAAATACAGTGAATAGAAAGAGTATGGCAGTGTTCGTCTCAAAACAGATAGCTGCTCTCTAAACAGAAATATATTTTGCCATTTGTGTCCTATGTGTAAGCTTTCCAGGAATATACTATGGAAAATAAATAGAAATCTTTGGTGGGTTGTACAAGGGCACCTAAATTTATGCATTACAAGTATTATTATCAACTCAAATCAATACACTGCATGATGTCCTCTTCTCTGAAGGTTACGGACCATAATCTAACATATACAGTATGGGGCCAGTAATAGTTGCTAATTCCAGAACGTTCAGCCTATTTGACTTTTCATGTCAAACATTCCTGATTTCCATCCAACCCCATTGTCAAGTTAGCAATAACAGCTCAATTATTATTTATTCAGAAACAAGATGATCTTATTTAGTGGAATATATGATCTGGTAACAAATTATCCATAAGAATGATATGAAACTAATTTCAGCTAAAATTTGCATGTATCTTGCAAGTTGATGCCTTTTACAGTATAAAGCAAATACGGGGTACCTTAAAAAAATTTATTCATCTTAAATAAACTTTATAAGAATACAAGGCATATTTTAATTTCAAAGATGTAACATGATCTCAAACTGGCTGGGATTATAAACTCCAAATTTGAACTCCCAATTTGATTTGTAGCCTATTTTGGAGCTTTAAAATATACTGGATTCCCAATGGCATTCCTCATTATCGATTATGAATGCCGCTTATCAATAAAAATGTATTTCAGTCTAACACAATTCTTTCACCTTGAACTTAAAGGACAGTTCGTGCAAGATGAATAACAAACAAATGAGCTTGAATCCCGACATGACCTGGAGTTAGGAATGTCGCTCATTTGGAAGGCCACTACTATTAACATACAACAGTGGGCCACCAGCCCAAATACTTGGTAATTGAAACAATCTAGAGTAAATTATCTGTTTTCCACAGACACTTTCTTTGATCTCTATGTAACCCAAAAGTTTGTATTAATCTATAATGTTATTACAGATTAAATAGTTCATAGCTATTAATTCTTTTGTTTCTGTCTGGTCCAATTATTCTTTCTGCTTTCCCCTCAATTGTGCAAATGTAATCCTCATTCATTTCTTCTGACTTGATAGCAGACCTACAACAGATTTCTTTTGACACCTTTCCATATATCAAGTACACAAGCTTATTAGTACACAGCACAATTTTCCCAGAGGCCTTGAAAAAATGAGGATTACATGTAGATATTGAAATGGCGAGAAAATAAGGCTAATTCCCCTACTCAGTTTTTATCGTCCAACATTTCTATTCGTCCTTCTCTTTTTGACAAAGGAAACTTAATATTTTCTTCGGTAACTTCTTCACAGGTAGAGCTCTCCTCACATTCCGAATCATCTTCTGATTCTGTTGTATCACAGTCATTCAGTTCTACTAAGGCCACATTCTGTAACAATTTAAATAATGAAAGTAAGATAATATTCAGTACACAATGAGAATGTATACCGTATTTTTCGGAGTATAAGATGCACTGGAGTATAAGAAGCACCAAGGTTTTGAAGAGGCATTTTTTTAAAAAAAAGTAGGTAGGTAGATAGAGGGATAGAGAGGGAGAGAAAGAGAGAGAAATACGGTAGGTAGGTAGGGAGAAAGAGAGTAGGTAGGTAGGTATGTAGGTAGATAAAGGGATAGAGAGAGAAATACAGCAGGTAGGGAGAGAGAGAAAGTGTGTAGGTAGGTAGGTGAGGGATAGAGAGAAAGAGAAAGAGAGTAGATAGGGAGAGAGAGAGTAGGTAGGTAGATAGGTAGGTAGACAAAGGGATATATATATATATATATATATGTTATATTTATGCTGACTATATAGATATATATATATATATATATATATATATATATATATATATATATATATATATATATATATAGAGAGAGAGAGAGAGAGAGAGAGAGAGAGAGAGAGAGAGAGAGTGTAGATAGGTAGGTAGGTAGGTAGAGGGATAGAGAGAGAGAAATATAGATAGAGAGAAATACAGTAGATATGTAGGTGTTTCTGCTGGCACAGCACTTGATCAATGTAATTCTCATAAATCAGTTAATGAGCTTTCCAAAAGGGGAAAAAAGTTTTTGCACTCTGCAAACCTCCCAAAACCGGCCTGTTTTTCACAAAAAAAGGCCCTGGTTTCTCCCCCCCCCCCAAAAGACATGAATAACCTTGGGGGGGCTTGCAGAGTGTTTTTTTGGGGGGGGGGCAAAAACAAGCAAAAAATGGCCCATTTTTCATGAAAAAGGGCCCGGTTTTAGTCAAAAATATTGCATAGCCTTATGGAGGCTTATAGAGTGCTGCTGGGGGCTGGAGGGGCAAAACAGCCTGTTTTTTGCTCATTTCTACCCTCCCCAGCCCCCAGGAACTCTCTGAAAGCCTCCATAAGGCTATGCACGGCTATTTTGGTGAAGGGGGCGGGGCTTCGGGAGGCAAAAAATGCTGTATTCCATGTATAAGACACACCCAGATTTTCATCCTCTTTTCTGAGGAAAAAGAGCGTGTCTTATACTCTGAAAAATACGGGTATGTACATCAGTTTCAGTGCTGAACTATAAAATCAAAAGTTTCAATTACCATTATCTTAAGAAAATATCTCAATAGCAGTTCATAAATGATTTTCACAAGTACTAGTACCAACGAGTAGGAGTCCCAATCTACCAGGTCCAATAGGCATGCTCACAAACTCCCCTTTCATAACATACCATTTTGTAGGACCAAGGAGATTTGCCTTCTCTACTGTGGCTCTATCTATGGAGCAGCCTTGCCTGACCTTCTTGGTGTTCCAAAGAGCCACAAAGAACAGGCTTTTGCCCAAGTATTAGGCCCAGGTGTTAATGGAACCTAATATACACATGTGCATTTGGTGAATTTGTTAATGTTGCCTCTATTTTTCTTTGTATTCAATTTTTTAAAATTTAGTTTAGTTATAATAGCCTTTATTGTCATTGTATATTATGCACACAATGAAATTGGTTGATTTATGGCATTCTCTTTATAGGTGATCCTCAAATTACAACTATTTTTTTGATGTTTGTTCAAAGTGCCAGCAGCACTGAAAAAAATGGTCAGTTTTTACTCTTATGACTGTTGCAGAATCTCCACAGTCAGAGTGATCAAACTGTGGATGCTCAACATCCACCATGTATTTACAATGGGTGCAGCATCCTGGATCCCGGGATTTTCATTTGAAACAGTCTCAGGGAACTTCTGACAAGCAAAGGCAATGGGGGAAACTACATTCGCTTCATGACCTCGTGATTCACTTAACAGCTTCAGTGATTTGCTTAACAACCACTTCAAAAAAGTTGTAAAATGGGATGCAACCCACTGAAACAACTGTCTTGCTTAGCAATGGGAATTTTGGATTCCATTGTAGTCATAAGTCAAGGACTCTTATACTGGCTTTAGCAAAATGATTTGCTTTCTGTCCTGAGTTACCTATTTAAGATGGTCAACTATTTAAAATGCTCGGCCATAGAAATAGCTTAAATGAGACTATTGGCATGAAAGCCACTGGCAAAGTCTTTGTTTATAGCCAAGAAAAAGCAGCTAGATCAGTGATGGCTAACCTTTTTGCCATCGCATGCCAAAAGCAGGGGAGAGTGCAGGGGGATCATGCACAGGCGTGCCCACACCCATAATTCTATGCATGTGTGACCCCCACCCTCCCCCGCTTTTGGCGGTTGATGGACCCGTTTTTCACCCTCCTCAGAGACTTTCTAGGAGCCTGGGGAAGGCAAAAACGGCCTCCCCCACCCCCCGGAGGCTTCAGGACGCTTCCCTGAAGCCTCCTGAGAGAGAAAAATGGCCCAACGCCCAAACGGGAAGTCTATTCCCGAACTTCCGGTTTGCGCATTGGATGGTTTTACCCCTTCCGGAGGCTTAATGGAAGCCTCCAGAGGGCGAAAAACAGTCAAAAATGAATGCCAAAGACAGCTGGCCAGCGTGCGCATGCGCGCTGGAGCTGACAGAGCAACGCCTCGCATGCCCTAACAAATGGCTCCGTGTGTCACCTATGGCACTTGTGCTACAGGTTTGCCATCACAGAGCTAGACTGATTAATTGCCTTCCATGATCAGAGGCTGAAAACACTTACAAAACAATTGATGAAAATAAAGCACAAAGCACTTACAAAACAATTGATGAAAACAAAGCCAGTGGCTCTCATCTGCTACAAATCTTCTGAGCATGAATTGGTTACCTCCATCAACAAGCAAGGCAAGATTAGTGTTGAAAGGAATTTTGGAGACAATATGGTCTAATGTCTTTAGTAGAGGAAGGTGCTAGCTGCAGCAGTCCTCCTAAATCTGAGACTTTTCTGGGTGTCTCGCAAAGACTTTGTGACAAAGCTTGTCTCTGATCAGGCTGACGGGGATTTTTGAGAAATATAACCCTCAAACATCCGGATTGCATATGGGAAAGAGAGCTACTCTGACACTTTGCCTGAAAAGTTTTAAAAGCTTAACTGAAAAATGTTATGACGCCAATCTCCTTGGCCTCCTAGAAACATGGCTTTTCAGGTATGTTGCAGAGAGTGTATAGCAACTTCTAAAAAAAATTAGCTTTGTAATTTTAGTCATGATTTTAATTTTAAAAAAAATTGTACCAATTTTAGCACTTAAACTGCATAAGCTGTCTTCTCTCTATTTAGTTTCAGGGGTCAGATAAATTTGATAAATAAAAAATTACTTCAGTAATAGCACAGAAATCAATTTCAACAAAAAAGATAACACCCAGATATTATTATAGATAATAGTTTATGAAGAGGTCCAGACACTAAACAACAACAAGAAGTCATTCTACTTTGGTTATACCATAAACATGAATGTAATGCTCTATGCCAAGGAATTAACTAGAAACAAAAATATATTCACCATTTCAATTATGTTTTCCATCGAAGGATCTACATGTTCAATGTCAAATTCTTGGCCAGGTTTGCTGTCCATTTCTCTTCTCAACTGACTATTTGCACTAGCCATCTGGGGTAGAAAATTCTGCACCTTATCCAAAACTAAATGTACAAAAATGTGTTTATGAAGACATTACTATATTTCTAAACATTTAAAGAGGGATGGCCTGCCATACCCCACATATAAACATAGAAAATATAGAAAGGCAGTGTAAATATGCTGTTAATCAATTGCCATATTGCAAGATAAAATTATTAAGAAAGGTCCAAACTTCAAATCTGTATTTAAATAAAGATGCTATATAGAAATGTCCTTCATTATATTTAGTTTAACTACAACTGACTGTTAAGGGGCACCCAATTTTAATGTTCACTCTCTGCTCTGCATAAATAATAGAAGATGCATGGTTCTTCATGTATATTTAAGCATTAAATATGTTGACATTCCAGTCCCTCCCACCAAAAGGCAAGACTTTGTTTATGATTATTATTTTCTAACATACAAATATAATTCAGAAAGGCACAATCCACAGTGTTTTTCAAACTTGTCTAACTTTAAAATGGGTGGACTTCAACTTCCAGAATTCCCCAGCCAACACACTGGGTACAGAACATATTAAAATTTGGAAAGTTTTGGAAAAGTTTGGAAAAACACTGCTCTAAGTCAGGAAATATTGTTAACTCACTGATAAAAAAAAATAGATATACTTACTGTTGCTCCTGGGCAGCCTGGTGGTCTGTAAGGTTGTGTCTTTCTTTTTAGCATGTTTTGGACTGAGCAAAAGTGTTTCGCTGATACCTAGAAATCCAGAAGCCCTGCTTCAGTTGAAAAGGCACATACTACTGATTTTACTAGTATAGTATTTATTTCTATATAGGCAGCTTTGCACTCTACTGCAAATTAGTTGATGCAAATCAGTTCCTTCGAATAGCTCCAATGTTAGAAGCAAGGCACTTTTTTCAACCCCAAACTTGGCAACTTTAAGACTTGTGGACTTCAACTCCCACAATCCTCCAGCCAGCAGAGTTATGTTATGCAGAGCTGGCTGGAGAATTCTGGGAGTTGAAGTCCACAAGTCTTAAAGTTGCCAGGTTTGGGGACCCCTGCTTACAGAAACCAAATATAATAATATTGTAGAGATATAGTATAAAGTAAGCAAAACCTTTCAGGCTATTGTGCCTTTCAAAAGTGGAAAGCACAAAAGATTAGGCAAGCATTAAATAGATGAAACAATGGAGAAAGTCGAGATAGAATGATTTTTTTTCATTCTTTCACTTTTAGCAGGGAGGCGCATTATTTCCAAGCGTGCACAAAAGTTGCACCTTAGTTTTGAAAATATTTTTACGTGATGTTCATTTATTCACGCAAGATCTCAAGAATACCATGTCCCTACAGGACTTAGTTATTTATTTATTTCCTTTTATTTATTTATTTTATTTAGTTTGTCAAACATGTAAAAGATAATAGGTATAAGCATAAGCATAAATATGTTTATACTTATATAAATACTTTATACTTTTGGCAGCTACTGTCAAGAATCTGGAAGCAAAGGAACGGGATAAAAAAAAACAAGTTATTAGTATTGCAGCGTTTCTCAAACTTGGCAACGTTAAGATATGTGGACTTCAACTCCCACAATTCCCACAAATCAGCAGCCATTGGGAATTGTGGGAGCTGAAGTCCACACATCTTAACGACGTGAGCCAAGTTTGAGAAACGCAGGGTTAATAGGAAAGGACGAGACCAGGAAGCGCGGCGTTCGTTCCTTGATCTGCGCCTCCTCTCATTCATCGCCAGTTACCTCCTCCGCCTCCCACGGAAAGAAGCACCCGAGATATCTCGGGACCCGCGTTGTCGCCACTCTGCGCCATTCAGCCCGATAGGAGTCCCGCTCGCGGTTAGTGAAGCCGCCCCGCCTACAAGAGGAAGCCGGAGCAAGAAGCCGGGAAGGGCCAAAGTCAGAGTGGCTTCGCAAGCGTAAACAGCGCCCCCTAGAAGCACGGAGGATCTTCATTCGGCTCGAAAAGACTATGGGAAGTTTTATATCGGAGAGTAAATTCTCTCACATAGTTTCACGCTTCACTTTGTATTTTATTTAAGTTACGGCGGCCCTGATTTTCTTTTTGCAAGCCTCCTTTACAGATTCCAAGAGGTAGTTTTGTGTCTCAGTTACAAGCGGCTACACAATTCCTGCCCTGCAGAGTTGTGACAATTAGACTTAGAACTTAGACTTAGAATAACTTTATTGTCACTTTGAATGTACACTAATTGGCATACGGTGAAATGAAATTTCGTTGCATACAGCTTTCAAAGGGTCTCCACTAGACTGCCATTCTATAGATGATCCCACACAAATCAAGCAAAGTATTGATAACTACATTTCAAAAGTATAAGGTAAAGGTAAAGGTTTCTCGTGCACATATGTGCTAGTCGTTCCCGACTCTAGGGGGCAGTGCTCATCTCTGTTTCAAAGCCGAAGAGCCTTTAAAAAAATGGGACCTTTAGTAGAAAAGGTTATAAGCAACCCTTAAAAAAAATAGGGAGCTTGATGGAAACCCTCGGTATTTAAAAAAAATTAATTTGAAGAAAAATCTGATAGTTTATCCAAACATTTTGTAATAATTATAATAAAGATGCTATCTTCTTGATATTCTCCCAAAGGTTAGGAAGAGTATTGATACTTCTGAACTTCGGTGTTAAAGAAGACTCCTGAGAATACCGTGAACAACCAAGAAAACAAACCAATGGTTCCTTGAACAAACCAGCCCAGAATTCTCACTTGAGGCACGAAGCACCAGGCTCAGACTATTCTACTTTGAACACATGTGAAGACCAAGTGGAAGAAGGCTCTAATTTGGGGGAAAGTGGAAGGAGGGAAAAGAAGATGACAAGCTGGTGGGTGGACTCAGTTACAGTGGTGATGAGTGCTTCATTGGAAGACCCAAAGGACCAGATTAAAAATGAATAGTTACGGAGAAAATGTATTTAGGTGGTCATCAAGAGTTGATGACGATTTTAGTGCACTTTAATCAAGTAATCCTCTTGAAATCTGTGCTCTATAATTATAAGATTGTAATAGTGTGATTGCAACCATTATGTAAATCTTTTCCATTTTTTTTCTGTAATACTTCAATAAGGTCGCCATTATCTCATCAGGAATCATTTTCCTTGCATATTTATGTTTAATAGACAAACTTGCTAGTCTATTTAAATATTCTTTTTTGTTTCCCTATTTAACACTGTTATTTTAGGTAGCTGTTGGAATTTCATTCTCATTCTACCCAGAGGTGGTATTCAGCAATTCTGATCAGTTATGGAGAACCAGTAGCAGAAATTTTGAGTAGTTAGGAGAACCGGTAAATACCACCTCTGGCTGGCCCCGCCCCTATCTATTCTCTGCCTCCCGAGTCCCAGCTGATCAGGAGGAAATGGGGATTTTGCAGTAGCCTTCTTCCCTTGGAGTGGGGAAGGAATGGAGAGTTTACAGTATCCTTCCCCTGCCATACTCAACAACCCACAACCACCCAGCCATGCCATGCCATGCCCACCAAACCAT